TGGGGGTTGGGGTGGGGGGGTTGTGACATGAGAAATCTGCCCGTGCTCCAGCTCTCATGTTAACCCCCCGTGGCCATATGCCTGCCCTCCTGTTACCCGTTCCCTGCTCATCGGCCCTGTACCGAGCTCCGAGCTCTCTCTCACACAGGCACAGATACACTCTTTGTCTAGAAAGCATGAGTGCACTGTGAGAGACTAATTCGATTAGTAGCCTGTTAAAAGGCACTGGATGATAATTCCACTCTGGTGGCCTCAACTGATCATTTTGTGTGAATGGACATGCGTGACACAGCATGTAAAAAAAAAAAAACTGTTGTAAAAGATGTTGAATAAACAGTCCATCTAGCACCATCAAGACCAATATTAAAAAAATTGCACAGTTGTAAGATATATTGACTCCTGAACCTTTTTTTTTTCAATAATTTTACACATCTGCCACAATAATGAACTCCTTATGTCTTCATATCTTCATTTTGGAGCTTTTTATATCATACAGTTAACGTGACCGACTGATCTATTACGTGGCTTTTTATTCAGCAAGAATGTATTAAATTGTTAAAAAAAAATGAGAGTAAAGACATTTATAATTTAATTTTTTTTTTAAAGTAAATAAGAAATGTTTCTTAAGCACCAAATCAGCATATAAGAATGATTTCTGAAGGATCATGTGATACTGAAGACTGGAGTAATGACTGCTAAAATTCAGCTTTGCATCACAGAAATAAATTACATTTGAAATTATATTAAAATAAAAAATCGTTATTTTAAATTGCAATAATATTTCACAATATTACTGTATTTTTGATCAAATAAATGTAGCCTGGGTGTTATCTATTCACGAACAGCTTGTAACACTCCAAAGAGAAAGGAAAACTTGAAATCGCATCATATGACCCCTTTAAAACATAAAAAAAAAATCTTACTGACCTCACTGAACTTGTGATTGGTAGTGTATGTGCTGTAAACAGCCTCTGTTATGATTTTCTTACTTCTTCGAGAAATCTGTTAAATAATGAATAAACAGTGATATGTAAATGTGGTCAGTCATTCAGTTATTTTAACCCAAAAATCAAAATTCTGTCAACATTTACTCACCCCCATGCTGTTCCAATCTTTTAGAACTTTTTCAACTGTTCATTGGTTCAGACGTCAAAACCATGGCTTTCTATAAATATCCTGATGGAAGGAAGTTTAGCATTGCATTAGGGTATATAAGAGTACATACTACAAAGTCTTTTATTTTCCATGATATGTCCCCCTTTTTATAAACCAGTTTGTATAATTACGAAAATGCAACTGATCTCAAAGAACACGAATCCCTGTGTGAATCTCTCACTGAATTATTACAGACAGACTGAGACATAAATTATTTTCATCCACGACACTAAGACACAACACTAAATAAAACATCTATCGGTAATACGAGCCATTTTTCATTAGCAAACCATATAAATACAATAAACCCATGGAATTAGGGACATTTTCATTAAATGCAAATTAAAATAAATTGCTTTAATTAAAAATTTATATATGAATGTATTTCTGATATTATTAAAACTAAATTATATAAAAAGTAATATACAAATGTATAAAAATAAATATTAACATAATAACACCTGATATATTGACATAATGGCTGACATTAAAAAACTATACTGAGTACTGAGAGAGCCATGCTTTAATTATGAAACACTGGGGAGGGACGCAACCTTAATAAAACATCAGCATGCCTGAGAGCAGGAAGTATCAGCCTGCTGCGGTGCTCACTGTGGGCTGCCCACGCTGAATCCCAAAGCTCCCATCAGCACCGGCACAGTGTAAGCTGACATGGTCATTCCTCTTCCAGAGGGAAGACACCTGCTCCTACTGAGACAGCCAGACAACCGCAAACAAACTAACATGCATGAGACGCCGAATGCCACGTTCCATATTTGACGTCCAGTACTCTGAACACTGGCATAGACAGAGATGATTAGCATTGTGCTGGCATTGAGGAGCGCGTCTGACTTTAAGTAGGGTAAGGTGTTTTTTTTGTTGAGTTTGTGCACACGTGAGTTCATAAACAAGTTAGTATGTGCAAACATTCAACAAAAGTACTATGGTAAAACAGTGGTGTTTGAATGCTACCGTGACAACATGATCTCAGTATTCAAACCTCACGTCTGATTTTAGCATGTGTACATTTTTGTGTGTCTGGGTAGACATAAAATGTCATATTAACATTTGAAATGTAAATCATTTTACATATGAACAGCTTCAGAGATGTTACGAATACTCACAGTGCATTACATACATAGATTAAATAATCAAGGTTAATGCTCCTTTACTTATGGCCAATAATAAATAAAACAATAATAATATTAAAATAAAAATAGAGTACATAGAATATAAATTATGTTAATATACAATATAGGCCAATCACACACACACACACACACACACACACACACAGATGTGTGAGTGTGTATTTTACAAATATAATAACATCAAATACATAAAACACTAAACAACAATAGATTAAAGTGTTAAATAACTAATTAATATTAAATTAATATTAAAATTAATATCAAAATTGTGTTCTTGAAGATTGACCTCTACATTGGCAAAGGTAATATGCAAATGCATGCACAATTAAATATCCAGTTTTGATTTAAACCAATAAATCTGTGTATAAAAATGTGCACAAACTGTACTTATGAAAATCTACGAATACAAATGAGATCACCTCGACCATGATGGGCATACCACATTTTTGTTAATGTTTGTAGTATAAGCACATAAGTTGATGAGTTTTTATGACCGACTGACGTCATGTGTAAATTCATACCTCATCAAAATCGTGCTCATTTGAGTTCTTTTTTAGTGCTTGTCCCCTTTAGTGCTGTGGGCTGCAGTAAAGTGTCTTTAGCGGTGCCCTTTATTTGTGGTCAGCGAATAGCTGAGATCAGGCTGATTTAGGCTCTGATGGGCAATACTGTCGTGGTATCTGATCCCTGCACTGGCGAGCTCATCCTTCTGTCTGCTGACTAGACACGGCCACCTCTAGTGACACATTGACTTCTCCTCCTGCCCCTACAGGCGGCTCAGCGATCCCTGAATCCCTCACCAATACACCAGGTGACACAGGCAGACATCATTAGCATCTTAAAGCAGTTCAGCTGGTGGATACAGACTTGATTTATGAAACCCTGTTTAATGGACATGCTTTTAGCTCCCTGTTTTGCATGAAAGTCAACATGAAATGCCATTCGCAATGCATTTTACTTACATAATATGATGCAATTCTCAAGGAAACAGGATATTCAGTGGGATGAGAACGTAGGATGAAACTTGGTTGGGAATTAATTGGATTGTGAAAAGTGGACCAGACAAACATTTGAATTACTCACAATAAGATCAGTATCTTGTACTGGGTAAAGTAAAGAGGTGCTGCAATACTGAAGGAAACAGGATATTCAGTGGGATCAAAATGCAGGATGAAACTTGGTCGGGAATTAATTGGATTGTGAAAAGTGGACCAGACAAACATTTGAATACTCGCAATAATATCAGCATCTTGTACTGGGAAAGTAAATAGGGCTGATTTTCATTTCATGTTGACTTTAAAGTTCCTTTTAATTGCGGTTTAGTAGCAGATGCACTGTAGAGTGTCTTTAAAGATCAAGCATTGCTTGGCTGATGGTTTTAGATTTGTGGTTGAATTTATACTAGTCATGAAAAAACATCATAATGTATGATAATAAAATCAGAGATAGCATCTAAAAACAACAATCATTTTCATCAGACATTTACTGAAATACATAAAAAAACTAGAAAACAGGTCTGAGTGATTAAACTTCTATATTATTCAACTAGATGTACTCACTTGTAATTTTTACAGACTTTGTATTCTTTTGCATAAGTACAAGTATGTTTTCCAAAGCTAAAATTAAAAATAGAAGTGTTAACAGTAGGAGGTAGCTGGCCCTCTTTACTTATTCTCTCAGCTCTCGACTCAGCGCTGTAATTTTACTGTCCCAAGTGCTACTTGTGACGAGCTTTCTGCCCACAATGCCAGCTGCTACCATCTCGAGCCAGACAGACACCTCGTCTTTAACTACGGTGCCATCTCCGTCTAGTCCAACACTCACAGTCGTACCCACTGCACCTGACCAGCCAGGTAAGAGACCTTCCTGTAAATGTCACAATCACAATTTGTTGACACGTTTGCACTCTCAGTGTCTCCCAGTATTAAAGTTTTGATATTTAAGTAAAGTAAATCCATCAGAACTCTGTTCGCAAAGACATTTCAACCTTGAAATAAGCCATAATATATGCAAGCATGTGTCCATCTATTTAGGTTAGACATTCTTCATTTATTCGGTCTCACTTGTGTTAATAATTGAGAGGTGAAATATTCAACAAGGAGCATGTTTAAAGTCATACATTGAGTTTTGTTCTTTTGCCCTCCTGGTTGTGAGAATGCATACATTACAGTTATTCTATTAGAAGGCGCTTTGAATCTTTACTAGCTTTTAAAAGAGCCTAGAACATTTGAATTTGTATGTCTTTATTTTATACTATACTGTAGGCCCAGGTTTTACTTCATGGGTAGGATGATTAAAATCTGGCACCAGGTAAAACAGACAAACAGCAAACATTTTTGTTAACTGAAATAAAATAAAAAATACAAATTCAGCAAAATTTCTCAATTTCATTTTGTTTTACTTCAAGTAATACATTTGTCAAATGTAAAAAGTACTAAAGTAACTAAAATGTCGAACTAAAATAAAAAATAATACAACTTTATTGAAATATTTAAGATTAAATACAACAGTGTTCACTAAACATTCTAAGATATTCTCTAAACCTGCATGTCATTCACTAAGCAACAGCAAGTAAATGTAAAACTGCACCGTAAAAATTGTGCACAAATATTATAGTGAATCAGGTACAAAAACAACACAGACAGCACAGGCAAGTAAACAAGGCCAATAGCAAGTGAAATACTTCTTAGTAAAATCCCTCCAGTTTCTTTGCTCTCTCGTACCGCACAGGGGACCTTGAGGAAAGTAGTGCATGCAGGGAATCACGCTCCACTGTAATTCCACTCATGATTGATGGCCGTAATGGTGCTCTATATTCTGATCTAAGGTATAGCAGGGTGTGGAGATTAAATATGATTACTGCTGTGCTAAATCACTCATTAATATATATGGGCCAAGGTGCCAAATAACATACCATTGTGGCGGCTCCTTAAACTATGTCTTCTTGAATCAAGCATTGAAGTCAGCAGGGCAGGTGGAGGCTTGCTGACTTGTAGTGTTTTGATGATTATGCCGTACTGATGCTTGACAAGCTGTTATCAATTTAAAAAGGCTTTTAGCTGTAAAAATAAATAAATAAAGTAATAAATACATGTCAGTGAAATCTTTCAGACTTAAAAAAATGTTCAGGATTCAATAAATATAAAGCAAAAGTTTAGCATCTGTGATAAGTAATTCTGACTTTTTCCATTCAGTTTTATCCTTGACACAATTTACAACTACTTAGAATAAAAATACACAAGGCCAAGAAATACATAAAAATACACACAATTTTAAAAGCCAGAACATTCAGTAACTAAAAAATGTATACATTAGACAACTTTACAGCTCAAATAATACAGTGGGGGAAATATTTATTTGATCCCCTGCTGATTTTGTAAGTTTGCCCACTTACAAAGAAATGAAGGGTCTGTAATTTTTATGGTAGGTCTATTTTAACGGATAGAGACAGAATATCAACCAAAAAATCCAGAAAAACACATTATATAAAGGTTAGAAATTGATTTGCATTTCAGTGAGTGAAATAAGTATTTGATCCCCTACCAACCAGCAAGAATTCTCCCACAGACTGGTTATGTGCCCATGTGGAACACAAATTAGTCCTGAAGTTACTCCTAATGTCAGCTCGTTAGGTGTATAAGACACCTGTCCACACAATCTGTATCTTCCATTCCAACCTCTCCCACCACCATGGGCAAGACCAAAGAGCTGTCAAAGGGTGTCAGAGACAAGATTGTAGATCTGCACAAGGCTTGAATGGGCTACAAGACCATCAGCAAGAAGCTTGGTGAGAAGGAGACAACTGTTGGTGCGATTATTCAGAAATGGAAGAAATACAAAACAACCATCAATCAGCATCGGTCTGAAGCTCCGTGCAAGATGTTGCCTCATGGGGTGAGAATGATCATGAGAAAGGTGAGGGATCAGCCCAGAACTACACGGGAGGAGCTTGTTAATGATCTTAAGGCAGTTGGGACCACGGACTGAAATCCTGCAGCGCCCGCAAGGTCCCCCTGCTCAAGAAGGCACATGTACAGGCCCGTTTAAAGTTTGCCAAAGAACATCTAAATGATTCAGAGAAGGCTTGGGAGAAAGTGCTGTGGTCAGATGAGACCAAAATTGAACTCTTTGGCATTAACTCGACTCGCCGTGTTTGGAGGGAGAGAAATGCTGACTATGACCCCAAGAACACCATCCCGTCAAGCACAGAGGTGGAAACATTATGCTCTGGGGCTGTTTTCTGCTAAGGGTACGACTTCACCGCATTGAGGGGCAAATGGTCAGGGCCATGTACTGTAAAATCTTGGACGAGAACCTCAGCCAGGACACTGAAGATGGGTCATGGATGGGTTTTCCAGCATGACAATGACCCGAAACATACCGCCAAGGCAACAAAGGAGTGGCGCAAGAAGAAGCACATTAAGGTCATGGAGTGGCCTAGCCAGTCTCCAGACCTCAATCCTATAGAAATCTGTTGAGGGAGCTGAAACTTTGATTTGCCAAACGACAGCCAAGAAACCTTAAGGATTTAGAGAGGATCTGTAAAGAGTGGACCAAAATCCCTCCTGAGATGTGTGCAAACCTGGTGACCAACTACAAAAAACGTCTTACCTCTGTGCTTGCCAACAAGGGTTTCTGCACCAAGTACTAAGTCATGTTAGAAAACAATTTCTAACCTTTATATCATGTGTATTTTCTGGATTTTTTGGTTGGTATTCTGTCTCTATACGTTAAAATAAACCTACCATCAAAATTACAGACCCTTCATTTCTTTGTAAGTGGGCAAAATCAGCAGGGTATCAAATAAATATTTTCTCCACTGTAAGCATATAATAATTAACAACCAATATGAGCCTCATA